GAAAGCTGGGTGGAACCTCAGTAGACTGATTCATAGAGGTCATAGTGGCAGGTGGCAGCAGAAGATGATGGTGCAGGAGCGGTGGCGTGAACAGTGGCACGATGGACAACAGCGGCTGGAGTGAGTGGCAAGCGGCTGGAGGAAAGAGCAAGATGCCTTCTCTCTCCTGCCCCCCTCAGGGTGGAAGGTGAACTCATGCGAAAGCATCTCTGAACGCTGGGTCTCCATTGACCAAGGACAACAACGAGTGAGGTGCAGTGGAGGGAGAAGGGAGGAGTACGTTAAAGGAACATTTGTTTGTTGGACTACACCTCTACCCCGATATAACATGACCCAATATAACACAAATTCGGATTTAACGCAGTAAAGCAGTGCTCCGGGGGGGCGGGGCTGCGCACTCCGGCAGATCAAAGCAAGTTCGATATAACGCGGTTTCACCTGTAACGTGGTAAGATTTTTTGGCTCCCGAGGACAGCATTATATCGGGGTAGAGGTGTATGTTTTAGTGACTTTGCTCCAGAATGCTAAATTTGTGACTGGGAAACTTATATAAATATACATTTTTCTAGTAGGCCAAGATTTTTAAAATGCATTATTTGCCAAGGTCGTTATCTCACTTTGTCGCTATCTCGAGAGGTCATTATCTTGGGGAGTTTCTGTACTAAACATTTTTATTATTATTTTTTTTTACATAAGAATGACCATACTGGGTCGGACCATTGGCCCAATATCCTGTCTTTTGACATTGGCCAATGCTAAGTGCTTCAAAGGGAATGAAAAGAATAGAGCAACTATCAAGTGATCCATCCCCTGTTGTCCACTCCCAGCTTCTGGAGAACAGAAGCTAGGGACACTCAGAACATGGTGTTGCATCTCTGCCCATCTTGCTAATAGCTATTGATGGACCTATCCTCCATGAACTTATCTACCGTATATACTCGTTCATAAGCCGAATTTTTTTTAGTAAAAAGGGAAGCACCAGAGAAGGGGGTCGGCTTATGAACGGGTATAGAGAGGGAGAGATGGGACACAGCCACTCCCCCCAACCGAGGGAGCAAGGAGAGGCAGCACAGCCAGCAGCGACAGAAGGGAAGAGGCGGGGCCAGAGTCTTTCCACTTCTGGCCACGTTGCTCTCCTCCTAGCCTCCGAAGCAGCTGCAGCTCCGGGGCTGGCAGGCTGCAGCCGCGCCGCCCGGCCCCACCCCCCAGAGCACGCTGTGGCCGCGCTGCCCGGCCTGCCGGAGCACGCTGTGGC